CTCACAGAACCACTGTTTTCTCCAGAGCCAGTCTTGAAACTTTCCCCATCTTTACCTCCATCCCAAAACATCTTACAGTAAGTCTTTTTATTCCACTAGCTGTGAAAGTACGTGGGAACAGCTTGAGAGCACCTTCTCAGTTGACTGGATAAGAAACATCATCCATTTTTAATCAATATCCAGTCACCAAGAGATGACTGGTTTGTGGGATCAGATTCCTAACTATATTTAAGCAGAAGTAACTGTTTCAAATATAATTAGTACAAATCCTCAGAAGCCTTCCTCAGAAATTAGCTTCTATAACAGAGGTTATCACCTTTCCTGCTCAGTGGACAGCTCTTTATAAGGCTCCTGATTACACAGATCTTGGGTTTACTGCTCTTGGAACAATTCAGCCTGACGCCTAGCCCATGCTAATGAGCAGCAAATGAGGGAAAGGACTTTATTTACCCAATAAAGGGAACAAATGCACAATTAAAGGGTCTTGTTTCTCTTGCATGTATCATGTATCAGACTTAAAACTTTCGAAATGAAAATTGTGAAACTGTCTTCTACAAGAGCAACCTAAGTACTGCTCCATGGAAATGTGTGTATTCACAGCAGGACTCTAGAGCTTTAGTTCAATCTCTCATCTAAAAATGTATCTGAAGTAACATCAAAGCACGATTTTGGAAATGTTTTTCTTACATGCATTACATAGAGATGACTTTATACAGTTTGACTGATCCAACTCAGACTAGAAATCAAGTAGATAGTTATTCAATCAATGTGATGCATGTGGCAGTGCTAGGAAAGCCATATAGGAGCAGGCTCCATGTGGGGTGAGATTAAATAGATTAACATAATCTGTTTGGGAAAGCGACGCATGAGGTGGGATGTCATGGGAGAAAGTTATGAACAAGACAGAAGAAATTAATAGGCAGCAATTATTCACTATTTCTTGCAACAGAAGTGTTTGGGAGTGTGCAATAAATTAATTTGTTTAATTTAAGAATAGGCAAAGGTCAGAGTTTTTGTTGTGCAGTCCTGATTAAACTGAAGAACTGACTATTATAGGGTGTTATGGATAATAAAGCCATAGAAAGGTTCAAGAGCAATTAAACCAATACAGGGAAGAAATGCACTTCTGGGGCTAATCTGCACAAGATGTGGCTGCCACATCTCTGAGCTGAGGGTGAGAGCAGAAGGGCTGAACTGCAGGTGCATTCTCATTCCTTTGCTACTTGAGAACAGCCGCTGCCAGCAATGAAATATTGAACTGAATGGCTTCGTGGGCATCTTTGTGGCCATGTGCCATATTCTGAGATTTCCTCTGTTCATAGAGGTCTCTCAGCAGGTAGCTTCAACCCTGGCCAGCACAGAGCCACGTCCCACCAGCAGAAGCCCTGGGGTTCCATGCTAAGCAGACAGAACAAACTAGTAATAATTGATACTGGTCACATAAGCTGCAAAATAACTTGTTTCTAAACACATTACTAATGTGTGGCTAATGGCCAAAAGAAAACAAACTGTAATTAAGAACATGAGATACTTCTCCATATTTTAGAGGCAAAGCAGGAAAAGGATGCTTAGGAGCTTGAATTTTCAGATTCAGATAATTAACTTTGGCATTAGAGGCTTATTAAAATATATTGCCCAAGAGATAGCTGGGTACAGAACTCTTCTAAATAGAGAGAACAAAGCTTTAAGACTTAAATGACCTTTTACAGTTCCTGAATATCTTATGATATGATGTTTGAAAATGAAGATTGCCAAACAGATGGAGCTGTTAATAAATTTAGGAAACAACATGACATATGCTCAAAGGAGCTTTAGGAAAAAACTTTTGTTTCATGTGAAATCCTGTGGGTCAGCTAACATCAATCAAAAGTAAAGGAAAAGGAGAGGAAAAGGCAAAACTTTTTTGTTAATTAAAGCCAGAAGATACAAAGGTATAGCTCCAAATCAGCTGCAGATTTTGTGCATCCAGATGATGCCTCCGACTGGTTCTGGTACGTAGCAGCATAGACAGTGCATGACTTGGAGGAACGGGATTGAAGCTGACAGGTATGTAATAGAGCTAACTGCTATGGCTTATGCCTAAATAAGTGAAATCAATTAGACATAGCGAAAAACAAACGATACTGAGCCAGCACTCAACTGTTAAGAAAAGAGCTCTAAAAATTATGACAATTTTTGAAAACTAAGAGAGGAGTTACCCTTTACCTTTACCTTCTCTTGCTGTAACATTTACAGTATATAATTCACAGAGAAAAAAAGAACTTTGCTGCCAGTGGAATAGAAGAATATTTTTAACCTCAGTTATTTATTGCTCAGTGAAAACCAGAGTTTCTCTATGAAACCTGGTCTTAGATGCTTTTAATTTCATGCTAGCCAGCTGGATGAGCAGTTCCCTGCCTCCTGGAGCATAGGACAAACACAACATGTCTAAAAGTGGTGCTGTTACCCATGGCTGGCATGACAAGTCCCCTCAGACAGTGCACACAGCACTGCACTGGTGCAGTCATCTGGCCTCGAAATCATGAGATGTGCGTTACTACAATGCTCATGGTTTTCTGTTCCACTCACATTCACAGAAAACTGAATGAAAAGAAAACCTTTCCTCTGCTTAGTTTGCAAGCTGAGGAAATAGTTTAGCCCTGCAAAAGGCATTTCTGGACAACAAGCCCCAGCATGCCAGAGTGCTTTCACAAGATGATGCCACTCAGGCTACTGTTCCTCTGCATCCTGACACAATCTGCTGTTTTTTAAATGGCATTAGCGCTCTGTTTTCTTGATGTTCTATGAGCAGCGATCAGCAATTTCACTAGCTAGTTCAAGAGCAAGGGAACCACAGGCAGTAACTGACAAAGCACATAACATCCAGACCATGCAGGAACATCTGATGGCACCATGGGGTGTTTGATGGCTGCTGTCATCAAACTTTTCTAGGAGGAACCCAATGCTCCGAAATGGGGCCAAGTCCCTGAGAAAGGGGGAGGTTTATTTGCAATCTCTTTCTTATTCAGATTTTTTTCCATACTTTCAGTTTCTCTGAATTTTCTTTCTTGCCAGAAAAATTTGCTTTAATTTAAACCTCTCAGCTTGTTTTCTGTGATTGGAAAAACAGTGCTCCCAGCAGCAATTCAAATTTCGGGTCCCAGGAAAGCCAAGCTGAAAGACACCTGCATGCATCTTACCTACTGATTAGGCCCATGTCTTGCCAAAGTATACCTGACACAAATGTTAGAAAGGCTTTCCATTACATTTCATACCCACCACATGCAAAATATGAATGTTAATAACTTATTAACATTTGTTGTTAATAATTGCAATGCCAAGCATTCATAAGTCAACATGTCTGGACAATCTTCTCTGTTGCTCTCATGAACTATATTGATGTGCTCTCTAATTACACCGCAGCACGCTCATATTTCCACAGGACCCTGGACTCATTTGGTGCACAGATCAATCAGGGCTACTTTAATGAGTACAGCTAGTCAATATTTTATCTCAGCATTGCTGTTAATTGTGCGGTTGTTTATATTTACCAGCAAGGTTTAAACACTGTGCTGAGGACAGAGCTGCTCTAACCACAGTCATTACTTCCCCCCTTTTGTGGGGAATGACCATTGATCTTCACCTCCATGCTACAACGGCAGGACAGTAGACTACTAATTCTGTTACAGGAGGCTGAAGTACAAACATGCAGAACAAAACAGTTTGCTAATATGGGACATCTAGCCTGAGACTGCTGGGATTTCGGTCTTTGTGATCAGCAATACGTGACATGCCATAAGACACATACAAAGCACCTCTCCTGTTGCTTCCAGCTGCATCTGCAAGAGGTCAGCATTTCTCCGGAGCGCATGAATGTGTTGCATTGCAATGCCCAAAAATCTTGCACACGTGTTCACAGGTGGAAAGAAGCTCCCACCCCACTGCCTAACTGACCTCAGGGGTCTGATTTTCCTCACTGCTTCATAACACCTGGAAAAGGGACCTGTTCTAAAGCACTCTAGCTCTGTAGATAGAAATGTTTTGCTTTGGACAGAACTCTATGATTTTTCCCATTTAAAAGATTACTTAGTGACTGTGAGAGATTGTTCTGTTAACGTCTGTGTCTCAAAGCTTGCTGGGGACACAGATGGACTTGTTCAAGTCCCGAGCAAGGACTGAGAAATCCTTTGTCAGAAGGACACAGATGAACAAGTCCAGGCAAGTCCTGGGCAAAGGTTGTGAGATCCTTTGTGTGGGGGACGCAGATGGGCAAGGCCAGGGGCAACGAGAGGGAGATGAGCTGCAGCTAAATAGCTGTGAAGTGCTCCTTTGTGTGGACTTATCTCAGGATGATGGCCATCTCAGGGGGTACTCAATGACTCTTGCTCAAGGCCCATCCTTGTCAACTAGGCAGGAGAGCAAGGAGGATAAAAGAGGAACCGAAAACCATGAGAACAGAGGTTTTCTGACAACAGATTCCTCATGAAGAAAAGGGGTTTCTGCCATGAGAAGCCTCACGACCTGCCTCTCTCCCTCTTGGACTTGCTCTGCGCTCTACCACGATGCTGAAGAAGAACAAAGATGTCTGCCATCAGATTCCTCACTACGGAATTCCTGCATCCTGACGGGCTCTACCTGAGTCCTGCTGCTTCCTCCAGATTGGCTCTGCGACTTCTTGCTGCTACCTGCTTGCTGCCCAAGGCCGGCCACGCTGCTGCTCCCCCTCCCTGCTGCGTCTGCCTCGGACCTTCAAACGCCGTGCAACGGGACCGCTGCTGGAGACTCTCCCCGCTTTACGCAATTCTTATGCAGATCTTTCCTATCTCTTCTATCACCCTCCTTCCCTTCCCCGTCTCCCTGATTAGGTTTTGTAATAAACTGGTCGGACCAACATATGAACCGTTGTTTCTTAATCTCACGCCGGGTATACAGATATTAAAAGAACTTCATCTCCCTCCTATAAATTGGAGCAAGACAGTGACAAAAAATAAATTATGACTTGAAAATAATACAGAACTTACCACATTAAACAGAACTAAGCACTTCTATTTGTCCAAATTATGTTGTGCTTGCAGTGTGTTTCTGTGCTCTTCAGACTTTGCCTCTCTTCTCCCTGTCATCCTGGAGAGACAGAAAACATCCATTTCTGAAATCGTAGAATCATAGCATAATAGAATGGCCAGGGTTGGAAGGGACCTCAGGGACCATGAATCTCCAACCCTGCTGCCACGTGCAGGGCCACCAACTTCCACATTTAATACTAGACCAGACTGCCCAGGACCTCATCCAACCTGGCCTTGAACACCTCCAGGGATGGAGCACCCACAGCCTCTCTCTGGGCAGCTGTTCCAGCACCTCAATGCTCTCATAGAAAAGAATATCCCTGTAAAATCCAACCTAAATCTTCCCTCCTTCAACTTAAAACCATTTCCCCTTGTCCTGCCATTATCAACCGTTGTAAAGAGTTGACTCCAATATAATACAGGATTACATGGAAATAATCCTCACTTGTGCTTCACTGGGCTTGTCTGGCCTCTTAGGGATGAAGTGCTGAACTCAAAAAACATGCAAGAAAGAAGAAGAGGAAAAAAAAACATTTCAATTATCTTAACAGCTCACTACTAATTTTTCCACTTCATTTGTGTTTTCTTTCAATGGTTTAAGATCACTTAGTGCTTCTGGAGAGGTGAGAGCAAGGCTGCACTTCTCCACAGCGTTATTTCCAGTTCTGAAAGCTTGCAGCTCAGTGGGGCAAGCCAGCAAAGTTCCTATAACTCTTACACCTGCAGATTCCTGATCTGATCTTACTTCCCTGGAATTAAATATTAGACTTTTCAATGATTTTAATGGTCAGGCTTTCCCCAAAATGAAAAACATCCAATGCTTAGTTCAACCTGGTAAATAATGTTTTCTCATGGCATTGCAAACAGGGATGAACTGATCCATGCAGTGACCTATGCTCTTCCCTCAGTCCCTCACCTCACAACTAAACAAATTAATGCAGCTTTGAGGCAACTAAGTTCAGAAAGGATGGTAAACAATGTACTGTCTTCCCAAAGCCAAAATAATCTGCATTTGTTTTGGAACATTGTCATGAATCACTTTAATGTTTCATTTCTTTAGATGCTTTTTTATTTCCTTCTATAAATCCCATCCTCTGAGAGTTGCACAGTGTCCATTCCGGTTACATTTGAAAACTCCTCAGATGAAGGTTTTAGTCATTTGCTTTTTGGTGAGTAATTGTACTCATTTTCAGCCAGAAGACAGTTAACCTTTAGAGACAGTCAATTGCCCTCTCTATGTACCTATCACTGTACTTACTGGTAGTGTAAGACTAAAACTTAATAACCTAGAAGGGATGAAGCATTAGCTTTGCTCTGACAAAAACTCATTCTAAGTTTTAAGGCTAGAAATTTTCAAAGGAACCTGAAGGATTTGTTTCTTAAATAACTATAGTTTGGTAGAGTTGATACTTGTTAAATAGCAGTAGATATGAATCAGACAGCATCTGCAGAACTGTTTTTTATATTTTATCATAATAACTACTTGAGTTCAAAGACTACTGCAGAAATATATTGCCAAATATACACAATGCACAAATGTATCAATTGTAAAATCTTGCTTTGCTTTAGAAAATGAATCCTAAGTACTTAAATTAAATGATGGCTATCTACATGAAAAACAAAAGGAGATTGTGATTATCTATAGGCACATTTAACTTTCTATATCTTTGAAACAATGCTATTAGAAGAAGTATTATATGCAATAAAAATAATACAAAACAAATATTACAACATGGTGCTTTGATAGTAACTTAATAAACACCAAATTATGAATGATTGTGAAAACATAGTAGCCATACATTTTTTTTTTACTGTTTACATGCAAAATTTCAGCCCACTCTCTGGAAAGACTCATACTTATCCAGATAAAGCTCAGGCTAACCTCTAAGGATAAGAACTGTTTAAGTGATGTGAAGGGGGTAAGCTCTTTATCTGTCTGCTTGGAGTGCAAGATGGGCTTCCAGCTCTTCCATTTCCTTCTGCTTTCTCTCCTCTTTACCTTGGAGAGCCACTATTAGTGCCCTGGACTAGGATATAAGGGACAGAAAGAGATGAGAGGAATTCCAAGGGTGATCAGTCTTACCTAGAATTAGAAGATAGAATGAAGAGGACAGGAAAGATGGGAGAAGATCAGACTGGCCTGGGCAGTTCTCCTCAGTCTGTCTCAGACTTCTAACATAACATGTGTGTAGTCAGAAAGTAATTATAGGAGGTGGATTATAGGAGATGTGTTTCAGGGAAAGGAGATGGGAGAAGATGATGACTGATGGCAGTCTGTGACTGCTGTCAGGAGTGACACAGGAGTACAATCTCATCTAAAATACAAAATGAGAAGATGACCTCTTTATGGCCTTGGTTTTGTTTTTCTTTCATTTTTGCCCATGAAATGAGAGGGCACATGGCCTTTCTGTTTGGTCTGGATGGAAACTGGATCTGCACAATTCTTCTTAAAGTGGCAGATTTGCTTTCCCTGCCTTCTCACTTTCCATGTCATGGCCACCAGCAGCCTGGTGGGAGGCAGGGAGCTCAGTGTGTACAGAAATGGCTCTTTCCTCATTCCCATTTGCAAGAAAAGATCTCGTTTTTAGAAGATTTTGTGTGGGCTTAAAAAATTCTTAGTAAAATTAATCCTTTTCACAAATGCTCTAAATTCTTAATTCCCCAAATTTTGAGAACATTTACTGCTGAGAAATAGTTAGAAAAATTTCCTTACTGCTAAATCCATCTGCCTACTTAAAGACAAAAACTTATATTACTTAGCAGCCTTCAAATGATACATTCTCCTGATGTGTCAATTTTCAGATGTTTCATATTTTCTGCAATCAAAATTACAAAACTTTTTTAAAAGATAGCTCTGGTATTATTATTATTATTATTATTATTATTATTGTCATTTTGACATATTCCTTCAAATGATAATCGAGTGGAGGAACTAAAAACATTAATATTCTTTAGGCGGTCATTATCTGGCAACTCTTAAGCAAGTCCCTTGCCAAAACTAGAAAGGAATATCCCTACAAATATACTTAAAAAGAGACAGTGCCGGCTTTGTTGATTACTCCATAGAAACTCTTTGTGAGAACTGAATTTACGAAGACATGCTGAAAGCTGGAAATCTCCCTTTGTTTGAATAAGAATGAACTGACCTGAAACAGCATTTCAGCTCCTTTTCAAACCCTCAAAAATGCAAAGGTGTAGCTAAAGAAATGTCCTGCCTGGAAAAACATAAAATGGAAACTTTAGCGCTGTAGAGAGGTTTCTGCCCAGACAAAAGACATGAAGCAATAAAACTCAGTAAAAATTATAACCCGACAGCAGCACATTTTGCAGCATATTAACTAGTCATTACCTGATCCTGCTGGCATGGTAATTCCATGGAAACACTGGGGAAAGGACAAAAATGAAGGGAATGAGAATTTTCATCAACCAGTGCCTGGCAGAGGTGTAGTCTCATGTTGTTAAATGTGTGGCGAAGCCAGGCAAACATAAGCTCTAGCTCTGCCAAAGAATTACATTCAACTGTGCCTTCTAATTCTTTTATTGAATAATTAGATGATAAGGTAACACAGAATGTCACCACCTTCTCTACCATACGCATCTGCTCTGCTGGGTTAGGATTATGCAGCCAGAACAGAGGCATCAGTTAATCTTGATAAATTTTAAGAGACAATGCTATGCTATTTGCAATTTAAAATGTTTAATTTTTACCTATTTGGCTGTTGCAAAACACCTTTTTCAATAATTTTTGAATAATTGATTCAATTATTTTTTTGATCCCATGGGATTTAGTTGAACATTTAGCGTTGACCATATTCTAAAATGGATTACTATGTCAAGCATCTTTCACGTGTCTTTATACAAAATTATTCTATCCCTTCATAAACAACTTCAATTTTCCCTGTATCATCATCACAAGGCACACTGGGGGGTAAAACAGTTTGGCTTTGTCTTTTTTTGGGACACATGCCTGGTCAAGCACAGATTTACCAGGAAGTTTGAAATCTTTGTCAAAAGCTTAAGGTTTCATAAAATATATTATATTCATATGATCATAGAATTTTTTTAGTTGGAAGGATGGCCTTAGAGGCCATCCAGTCCAATTCCACTGCAAGGAACTGGAACATCTACATCTCCATCAGATTACTCAGAACCTGGTCCAACCTGATCTTGAGTCTCTGCAGAGATGAGGAATCCACTGCCTCTCTGGTAACCTGTTCCAGTGTTTCACTACCCTGATATTACATAACTGATGTAACTTCTGCTTTCTTTCTACTTTCCTGCAAATTGAAGGAAGATACTGACATGAAAAGATAGCTTATTCTGAGACAAAGCAAAGAAGAGTAAGTGACTAAGCTGTATTCCCAAATTTATGATGCAGCCACATGTTAGGATGAGACCTACCACATCTGTCTGTACATTGTTCCAATGTGGTGGCATGTCTACTGTCATGAGTTAACTGAACCAGTGAAATAGCCATGGGTAGCATTTCATAATTCATGTGGAAATCACTGTAAACATCTCAAGTTCTGCATTGCTAGCCAGTATGAGGGGATTTTTCTCTGCTAGGAGTTGCCCCTGCAGCCACAGAAGGGGTGATGAGGAGCACATCTGCATTGTGCATCCATGGGATGAGCCCACAGATGTGGTTTCATGCTGAGTCTGATGCAAACCATAGGCTTTTTCTAGTCCAGGACACCAAATGCTGCTTGGAGTGTGACAGTGGAAAAACTCATGTTAATAGCAAGAAATCTGCACATGAAGGTTTGTTAATAAAATATACACAGATGAAGGCATCCATTGCACACAATGTCCTTTGGCGTAGCTGTAGAGGATGTTCTTTATCTCTGAGAACATGTGGGAGGACAGCTGTAGGGGCTGTGTCCCCCTGTGCTTTCACAACCTAGTCATGAATTTCTTCTGTCAATCTGCTGCTTTTGTGCTTCATTTGGCAAATTTATTGGCTATGCTGTACATCACAGCCCTTTGAAAAACAGTTTAAACATATGTAGTACTTCTTTATAATCAGTAGTTCTCTGTTTTCTTAACTACTAAGCCAGACAGTGGCTTTCTATAGTGTCCTTTTATTAGGAACCTTCACTGTACTTACATTTTTCATCATTATCTGTTGGGGTTTTTCAGTCACTCCTCTTGACACAGTGCCCAGAAATTCAAGAAACTTGAAATATGTTTGATTCTCCTAAGCTGCCTGAAACACTTCTCCAGATTCCCAGCAAATCAAGCAATGTTTATTACTCAATTTTCATAAATCATGAAATCTCCTAGAAAGCTCCATTTTCTTGTTATATTTATGATTTAAGAGAAACAATTATCAGTGCCTAGCCTTACTTCAGGGCTGCAGTTTTCACATGCTGAGAACACTGTGATTTCATTAATAATCAATAAAAAGGCAATAGAAACTTCCCCTTCAAGCATCCTATTCACTATGAGAGAATGTTCTAGTTTAAGGCAAAAATGTAATGCAGATGGATGATGACAATATCACTAGAAAGGTCTTCAGGCATTTGCATATTTTTCTGATTCCAAAACCCATTGGAGAAGTCAGGCACATTTCACACTCACTTTTGAGCGCTGTGAACACTGTGAATTTAATAATAATAGGAGTTCCAAGTCGTTGCTAGCATAGTGCTAAATGCAACTTGCATTTCAGAGAGGCTTTTTTCCTAAGTGACAATCTCAACAAGTCTAGACAGATTTTTTCTCCTACACATTCACTGAGTTCCTCCCATTTTGCTACTGAACAATTTCAGCAGTAGCAGCTGCAGTGAAATGATGCAGCCAAAACTAAGCATAAAGCTAAGCTTCAGTCCTTCAGTGAATAGTTGCATGGAAACTTCTTTCTCTACCAAAAAAAAAGAAGAAGAAAAAGTATATCTTGAACAACTTGCCTTCATATATCTAAATAAAAAAAATCATATTCTCTGATGGTATCAGGGAATTGCTTGCAGGTGAATAGATACTACTAACATTTTCCTGCTAATATTATGACAGTAACATTGATATTGCTGTGATGGTCTTACAATATAATAGGAACAAGTTTTGTGGGGGGAGAGGTAATACCTTTTATTAAACTTGCTGGCATAGCTGGAAGAACAGTGTGCCTGTGCCCCTGGTGAAAGTTTTGTGCCTGAAAATACCTTTTTTCTTCTACTGCAAGTAGTTGGTCTTCCCACAACTATTTCACAATTAATTCATACCAACTGTGCTAGAGAATCCTCTAGCCTTTGCCATCTGTGGCACAATTACTGACAGACAATAAAAACCTCACTGTAAACTGGAATCCAGAACATCTCCACCGCCTGAAAAAGATGGGGAGGAAAACAACCTAGGCTGAACTAGCTGCAGTCAGGTCTTTGCCCAAAGAACGACTGTTTACATGGGTTGATAGTGATAGGACAAGGGGGAAATGGTTTTAACTGAGACAGGGGAGGTTTAGGTTAGATACTAGGAGGAAGTTTTTCACACTGAGGGTGGTGATGCACTGGAACAGGTTGCCCAAGGAGGTTGTGGATGCCCCATCCCTGGAGGCATTCAAGGCCAGGCTGAATGTGGCTCTGGGCAGCCTGGTCTGCTGGTTGGTGACCTTGCGTGTGGCATGGGGTTTTAACTAGATGATCAGTATGGTCTTTTTCAATCCAGGCCATCCAATGATTCTGTGACCCACTGCTGGGTCCCATCTGATTGCTCCATTCTAAGCCCCAGCAAACATCCAGAACTTCAAGGCTAGAGTAAGGCTGAGCCACGATGGCTCAGCTCCTGAAAAAACAAAGCTGGAACAAGGAGGGGTAACACCACTTGAACCAACAAAGACTTCTCTAAATTAGAGGTCAATACAGAAGAAGACTAAGAGGTTGTCTTAGTTGTCAGAAGTGCCATCTTTTTATGATAATGGCAAGTACAAAGTCATTTATTTTTCACGTATTACATAGCAACACTTGTCTTGCAGTCAGGTATTTCAGGCATGCTTTCAGCACTATGCTTTTAATGAGGTGCTTGATCCTTGTGTAAAATCAGCACCACAGCCCTTATCCAGCAAGAACTAACAAGGAACTATAAATGGCCCAATTACCAGGCTGAAATGTCATTCACACATTTGTTATCTCCCACACCAACAGGGAAAAATAACACAGAGGCACAGTAGCTGAAGGCAAATTGCAATTACTGTCGATTGAACTAGGACTTGCAAAGATCTTCATGTAATTCAAAGCTTTAAAATTTAACGTGAACTACATTCAGTTTTGAACATCAGTTGGGTTCATTAATATTTAGGTTTAGATTTGCCAAAAAGTCATAATATCCTTATTAATAATATTAGCAGCTCTAACTGTTGCCAACATGATACTGCACTTAGTTTTAACTCGTTAGCTAAATTATTCCGGGAACAGTAGTGCTCAGGATGGAGGATTTCTGGAACATGTGATCATGGAAAAGTTGGACACCCTTCCTCCAAGTTCCCATCACATTAATGCAGGACATGTCACTCAAAGAAAAGATTTTGAATATCGATCTTCTAATAGACTTTTAATTCAAATCTTAATAATTCTGTTGCTAAAGGATAGGCTGGTAACCTTTGAAAAACACTAATGCACTGTCCTCGTCTAATTTAGATATTTGTATTTACTGTGACATAGGGGTGCCTATATAAAACAATCTTCCCTGTGTGGGTGGGAGAAATATACGAGCTCATAATGTCATCATATTTAATATTTTAATTGCATTTTAATAATATGTTCTACAGCAGATAATGGTAGTGTTGTGGTCATAGCATGGCAGCGCTCAGTTTCTCCCTACTTCCCATTTCTCAAAACATCAGTTAATCCAAGCAGAACTCTGAAATAAAGCTTTTCCCCACAGAGCTAGCACAGGAAATTCCCAGTGAGTAGAGATAATTCCTCACCACTTTCAGAAAAATAAGATTTTTTGTTCTTTTCTTGTCACGAACTGCTTTTTGGCCTGTATACATCCAGATACACATCAGTCAAAAATGTAAAGATGAAATAAAATTAATGCATTGAATATTTCACTTGTAAAGTGCACAGGGAAACTACAGGGCATGTCTAGATACCAGCATCATCAAGCTCCAACAGTCTGCTAAGAGTAATTGAACAGTGCATGTATTCCCCCTCTTACCATGAGCTGTCAGTAAATTCAATAATTGGGGCTTGAAATTGCTCGTTGCTGGTGCTATCTGAAAGGCAAAGAGATAAGGATGAAGATAGGAAGAGACCATGTGCTGAGATGGAGGATGTTGTTTTCAGTTCACTCAATACTAGATTGATTTTATACTGGTGTACATCAAATGTTTTCAACATATTTGTGTTGTTTTCCAGCCAAGAAATATCAGGCAGCTTACAACACATTTGCTTAAATTTGTGTACAAGAACACGCTTGCTTTGAACTTTATATAAAACTAATTATGATAACATGCATTATTGAATGCAGGGAACTACAAGCACTGGAAACAATAAACATGTCTTATCTTTGCACCTCTGTGAATGACAATACTTCAGGTTTTTAAGAGTCACAAAACATTTTTTTACCTTTAGCATACCTTGTTCATCTGTTAGTTCTCACTGAGCTAGGCTATAGAGCAGGAAGACAGCCTAATTTTTAGCAATATTTGGTAAATCTCATTTTACCACCAGAATTCTAGAAATTTGTAAGTCTTGTATAGATAAACCATGCTGTGGACTGTTTTACTGTGAAGTGCTTTTTTTCCAAGTTAAAATATGAACAAAATTGTATTAGAAAAAATTCTGGCTTAACAGTAAAACAGTAATTATTCATGAGTATTGATATAAAATATCAACAATTTTTAACGCAATAAAAAATATACTCCTCGATTTTAACTATTTTTGAAATTCTTAGAGTATAGAACATACGGAGCTACTTACTGCAGCTCAGTAGGTGTTTCCTTTTTCCTAACTTTTATTCTGTTTCATTTTGGTAGGTGTTGTTTTGAGGTTTTTCCTTTTTCATTTTTTTTTTTCTTTTTTTTTTTTTT